TGCCATTTCACAGTCTAATGCCTCCTCGTGGCCTGGCGAGGCTGCTGGAAGCTACTCATCACGTGGGTATTCCACCCCGTGAGTGGGCAGAGATGGACCTTCTCTTTCTCTCCTGTTTCAGGATACAAATGTGTACATAGTGCTTTCCCTTGGAGAGACCTTGATCTCACCTGGCCACATGAGGAGCTGGGGAGTGCAGCATTGTGCATGGCCAACAGAGTTCTTTTCATTAGCCAGGATGGAAGGGAGAATGTCATGAAGAGAGAGGTGGGACTCCGTACTGCAGGTAGAGAATGTTAATACCTCACCAGCTTATAAGAGGGGTAATGTATGATTCTGAAGTTAAAGGACTTCTGTATTATTTTTAGATTAAAGAGTCTCAATTCTGAGAGATATGGAGAAAAGATAGGGATATATGAGAATATGCAATAAAGTTATATTTTGAAGTTAGTTTTGGTCATTTTTTTGCCATGGCTTTAAATATTTGAGGAGTTATATCCACATTATATTAAGGTCACCAAACAAGGCCAGGGTCTTCTCAGAAATGATGCTGAAAGAGAAGACAGATTTATCCTTGACATTGAGATTGACTCTCTCGGCCAGGTATTGGGCCCCAGGTTCCTTTTCCCTTGCTATTTCAGAGTGACACAGCTGTAATCCCAACCACCAGAGTGGCATCAGCAAGTTTTAAGGCAGCCTAGGCAACTTAGTGAGACCCTGTCTCAAAATAAAAATGGCCAAGGATGTAAGTTCAGTGGTAGAGCACTGCTGGGTTCAGTCCCCAGATCCCACCATGTCACATGCTTACTTCCCGTGAATATGGATATAATGCCCATTCCAGGTGAGTCCTCTGGCATGCTGCGTGTCTGTGGACATGAACACGTGTGCAAGGCAAAGGGTGGGCTGCAGGTGACTCAGCAGTTCCTGCGCCCTGGCAAGTGTTTAGTCTGCTGACTGGGAGCTCTGAGGGCAGGGTGTAGAGCCCTCTATGCTGTCTTCTTGCATGGTCCATTTTGAACAGCCAGGGGAAGGCGATGGGGCTTGTATAAGGCCCTCCTCAGGGATACAACTGTGTGCTGGTTGCCAGAACCACTGAGTGGTAGTGGGAAGTGCAGAGCTCAAAGGGAAAGAGAAGCAGACCCTGTCAGTCAGTGGTAGTCTGTCTCCCTTGCAGGGCAGAGTTAAAATAAACAATCAGGAGAGCTCTAGGGCTGGATGTAACTCAGTGGTAGAGCACTTGCCTAGCCTGCATGAGGCCTTGGTTTCCATCCCCAGTACTGCAGAAAATAAAAAGATGAAAGATTCTGGTTTAAAAATTGATCCTGAAAATAATTGTAGGTCCCAGATGCCCTGAATTGCTGGAGCTATGTGGCTGGTTCTGAGCGCTTGTTCTCTTGTGGTATCTGTGAGGCTTTGCTGCAGGTGGTGGTTCACACCTGCCTCTCTCCTGGAGAGGGGAAAACTCTAGGGCTTCTCCCTTCCAGAGCCTGATGATGGCACTGCACGCTGAACACGTGCATTGAGCCACGTGAACACTGCCTTCCTATGGCTTGGGTCCAGATTGTTGGAGTCACAGAGAGCAGACCACAGGAACCCTTCACCCCTGCAGCAGGAAGGCAGGGAAAGGAGCTTATCCACCCCCTGCTACATGGCCCCTTGCTGGTCCCTTCTGGCCTGCTACAGGTTCTCCCTCCCTTGCCCTGCCACAAGTTCTGTGTATCATCTTTCTGAGTCTGGGTTGTCCCCATGGTAGTGGTTGTCCCCATGGTAGCTCTGCCCCATTCCCAATGTCCATACATCTCTCCATTCCTGCCTATACCTTCAGGCCTCCAGCACCAGGCCCATGGGAGGCAGTTTGCCCGAAATCCTAGAGTCATCCCCTGAACCCAGCCCTGCCAGTCCTGTGGAACATTGATGGAAAAGCCCTGTGTGTGCCCCATCTAGTTTGGTATCCACTTACCACACAGGGGTAGTGACCACTTGAGAAACAGTGAGTGTGGCCAGGAACGGAATTTTAAATTGATTTTAATAAATGGAGGTATAAATGGGTGCACATAGCTAGTTGCTACACTGTGTTGGACAGCACAGTTCTCACTTCATGTTAATAGCCTGTCATTTGTGTGTGGCTTCACAGGTCCCTCTGGACTGATGTGGGACCCTAGTAACTGATGCTCAGGGACTGGGGTTGTAGCTCATTGGTAGAGCGCGTGCCTCACATGTGTGAGACACTGGGTTTGATCCTCAGCACCCCGTAAAAATAAAGATATTGTGTCCAACTACAAAAAAAAAAAGTTTTTTAAATGTGGAAAAAAAAAACAACTGATGCTCAGGTTTGGGAATTGGTGTTTGACAACTTTCTGAAAGCTTCCTCTGAACTAGTTTCTTATCAAATTAGTTTAAATGCATTTAGGAGATACTCTTCAGTAGTTAAATAATTCAATAAAGATTCACAGAGGCCAGTAGTTTTGTTGATGAGTGTAAGTCGCATTTTATCTCAGTCACAGGTAGGACGGTTGTGTAGAGTTTGGCCTCAAAGAAGTTATATGTCACATGGGTGAAACCAGTGCAGAGGTCTATGCCTGCTGAACCATGGCCCCCCAGCTTGGAGAAGACAGCCTGCATGTCCTTGCCTGGCCCCCCAAGAGAGGTTTAAATTTAGTCTCTATAGCAGGCCTCCAGAAGCACGAGCGGCCCTGGCGCTTCTCCAGTTGCCTGCAAAGAGCCCTGCAGCGGGCTGCTCCCTGTGGTGGATTGCCTAGGCTTTCCATGTCTGTGTGTCCTTTGGCCTTGTTTCATTTTATCACCTGCCAGACATCTGAAAGAGTTCTGATGTACTGGTATAACTCCATTATTATTCAAAAGTAGTAGGGAAAAAACTGCATACATGCCACTTGTTGGCCTTGAGCTTTTCTTTTTAATGTAGGCCGCCTCCCTTTGGAGTAGGAGTAACATTGGAACAAGCCATTTCCAAGAAATATGCAACCCTCTTGGTCTATCTTTAATTTTCCCATTTGTAACACAACCCAGCGTAAGATTTTTTTCCCCCTACTTGGCTCTGTGAAAATTAGATGTGCAACCATTGGGGTTAACAGGCATTGACAGCCTCACTGCCTGCAAGAGCACCTTTCCGCTCTGGCCCTTCCCTCCACCAGAGATGGCGGCCATGGCGAGTATCCTTGTAGATTCCCACTAGGAAGGCTCATCCCCTGCCCAGCCCCTTGTGGCCAGAACTACCTCCCTGCTGTCTGTAGGGAGGGACACCAGCACTCACTCTCTCATTGCCCTGCAGCTGTGCACATGCTCTGCCCACCCCATTGTATTGCTGTTTCTGGGGCACCATCAGAGCCCCCATCCTTCTGCCCTGCCACTTGCACCTCCACTGAATTTCACAGGTCACATCTCTCTCTGCACTAAACAGGCATGGGCAGCAAAAGCTTTCCTGGCCCGAAGAGCTGATAGGATGTTTAAGGAGTTAAGGAAGCACATTCTTATCTAATGTTTGGCACCACTGCATGCAATCTGTTCTGACTACAGAGTTATCCCAGACCCTCCCACAGCAGAGCCAGGTCCACATCCAGGATGCTCCGATTTGGAAATACATGTTTTTATTATAGAATAGCTCCCTGTGAGAAAGATAGGGAAGAAGGTGCTGGGAGTGCCTGTCCCTCTTCCTGCACAGTCTGATCATCTTTCCTTGCCAGCAGTGATTGGCACAGGGTCCTTGGAATGCAAAGGCCCTGTGAAGACACTGTGGTTTTAGAAGGTTTAAGACACTTGGGTGGGCATGTTTTCTCTTTGCATCCAGTACCAGATAGGTAGTAGCTGTTCCAAAAAGGTAAGAAAGAAGTTACAACAGAAGGGTTTCAGAGAAACTCAAAACCAGGAATAGTTAAGTGAATTGGCTGGTAGGTAAAACCAGGAAATGGCTTGTCACGGTGCTAAGGAGATGTGTAGGGTGTGAAGCATGGTGATAAACACAAGCAGACCCATATCTGAGGCCAGCGCTGGCTTTAGCACGGAGTCTACCGGTTGTGTGCTGCCTTGCCTTGTGCTGGAGGTGTTTGGCCACAGGTGAACCCTGTGTGCTGACTCGACTGTAATGCCTGTGTGTGTTCACAGATCCATTGACGTGGGTCTGCAATGGGGGTTCCTGGTTTTGATCCTTCATGTTCAGTGCATTGTGTCCATGCACCTACGCTTCACCTTCCACTGGTCCTTCTGTATTCCCTACTTGGACTCTCAAGTGTGAAGGCCTTGGTTTCTCTAAGTAGCACTCAGGTGCCATCTAGTGGCCGTGACTGCTGGAAAACAGAAGAGTGAGACTGGGCCATTCTTCCCAACTGTTTTCCTTGCTGTCAATGATGATGACGAATTTAGGGATAGAGCTTGACTTATAGAAAATTGCTGGGATTTCTGACATTTCCACACTTTCAGCTTTTTGACTAGGACAAATCACTTCTGTTTGTTTGTTTTTCCTTTCGTGAAACTGAATGATAAATAATGATAAGGTGAATGATTTCTTTAATCAAAAATGTTTATTTTAAGAAACAGCTAAACTTTTAAAATAGATCCAGGGGATTTTTTTTAATTTCACAAGTTATGTCCTACTTTCTTTAAAAATACAGTATTACCACCACTTGGAATTGTTGTTTACAAGGATAAACTCGCAATGTCTGAAAAAGACCAGTTTGGGCTTTTTTTTTTTTTTTTTTGTACTCACAATTTATAAGGAAGCAATATTTTATAAAGCTTTTCAACAGTAAGGGTGAAAAAAAACAAAGATTTCTACTTAAAGCAGTTGTGTTCCCATTTTCTGCACATAGCTAGAAAATGATCCCCCATGCGTGCACTGGTAACTTGGAACTTGTCTCACCTGGTTCCTTCCTGCATAAGATGTGGAAGGATAAATGATGTAAAGTGCTCTTATGTTTTGCAAGTTTGTCATTATATTAATTGCTTTGGTGGTGTTATTTGTTAATATGCTTCTTTTTATATTTCAGAAAAGATGTTGGTTTAAAGCGATTTTTTCCTAAGAGTTTACTGGATTCTGTCAAGGTAATTAGAGTCTACTTTATCATAATCAAATAATGAAATCATGCCAATACCTTTTCCCCAGTGATCAATTGCTTTTGGGAAAATGAAATGGTGTAGTTTCCTTCCTTATGTGTGAAAGCTATCATGTAAAAATCTGGCAGTTAATTCTAGTTCTGTCAATGACAAGGAGATTTTTATAGGTCAGCCTTCTCCCACAAAACCATGGTTTCGCCACTTCATCATATGTGATATTCAGCTGAATATAAAACTAGAAAGCTAGATGCAGTGTCCCTGTTATCTGGGTTTTCAACATTTCGGGTACTTGAGCATACAGAAGGAGAGGAGCCCTGTGTGAAGGAATCATGGTGGGGAGATGAACAGGCATATATGCGTAACAGTGTGCATCTGTACGTGCCACAGGCTAGGTTGGGACTGTGCAGAGCTGAGTTGGGACTGTGCAGGGCTGCTTCCTGCTAGATCCACAGTACAGTTCCACACATCCTGGTGCAAAGGGAGCACTCCGATTTGGACATCAAGACAAATTCCAGCTCAGATGAGCTTGCCATTTGCTAGCCTTATGCTATGGGACCTAGTATCTTATTTCCATAATGAGGGAAATACAGTGTTGATGTAACCATATATGAATCCCTTAGTACATGTCACATAGCAATTCACAAACAGTGGCTGTTACTGCTCTTATTCTTTACTAAAATGGTCTTGTTCTGCATTCCCTGGCATGCGTCCTGAAAGCATGTAGCGTAAGAGTTCAGAAAACTATAAGGGTTTAGGAAATGGCTCCCAAGCCAGCTGCCCTGGTAAGAACACTGCTTCTATGGGACTTGCCTGGGATTTTGGTCCATTACTTTCTGTATTTCATTTCCACATCTGTAATTCGAGAGAAGCCAGTTTTTAGTACATAGTGCACAGGGCTCCGTGTGAAGGTTCAGTGGGTTGTGTGTGTGAAGTCTGGGAATTGGGAGCCTTGGCTGAGTGCAGCCGGTATGTCCAACCAAGAGGAGCAGCAGTACCTTGTGCCCACCGCAATGCCTGCTCCTTGTTGCACATCTCAAAGACCCACTGGTCCTGGTGGCTGTCAGGGGGTGAGGGTGCCAACGTAACTAATCGAGTGCACTCTGTGAGGAAAGCTTGCCCGAACCTCCGTCCCAGCACTCAGAGCCATTGGGGCCAGGTCTGAGAACCGGAGTCTGGAGTCACAGCTCTCCCTCATACAGCTTCTGGGGAGCCTGTGGGGGGATAGTGCAGAGGTTTCAGGTCTGTGGTGTACAGCAGTCTCCAAGTCCAGCATGCATGTGTGCAGGAGCGGCAGGGGTGGAGCCCAATCCCCAGGCCCTTTCTCCAATCCTTTCACGCACCTTTCACATGCTCATTACCACTCCTCATCTACCGAGAACACTAGAACAAGCCTGAGGACGCAGCTTTCACAGCCCACATGGGTAGTGTGGCAAAGATGGAGGGTACAGGCACAGAGACTGTCCCAACCCTCGAGCCAGAGTGCATATTTGGCAGTGGGGACAAAGAGCTTTAGTGAAGTGGAGAGGTTTGTGGCAATTTCCAGGGCACCCAAGGAACAAGAGGATGAGGGAGTAGTGCCTCCTGGGATGGGCTGACGTCGGGGCTGGCCACCTGCTGGAGCTGGGAGGATGAGGCCTTTGCTGACTGGAATGTCTGGGGTGAGGCCTGGGGAGCCTGGGGAGAGCCCAAGTGGGAGAGGGGCCCCTGGGCAGCCACTGCTGGGGTGCATGAGGTTCGAGGATCATGCTGGAGACGTTGACAGGGGAAGACCAGGGTGTCGGGGACTTCACCTTGCCATCTGGTGGAAGAGCGTGCTGCCCATTGTTCAGCACGTTGGAGTATCAACCAGGGCTCGCCAGTGGGGGCCGGGGCCCTTGCTGGCCTCAGAATTATCGCAGGTCTTCTCAGACCTGTAAGTTCAGAAACTGGTGTCACAGGAAGCACACCTTCTGTCACTTGGAATTATTCTAGATTTAGAAGCCATCCTTGTGTCTGGAGCTGTAGCTCAGTGCTAGGGCACTTGCTTAGTCTGCAAGAGGCCTGAGATATGGCTACAGGTCGGTGAGCACAGCAGGAGGGAGGCAGGTGCCATGGGGGTCAAGGGAGCCCTGGCTCTGTCCCCTCCCTGACTCAACCAACTCAGTTCTAGGGTTCTCTCCCAATATCCCTCAGCAAAGTAGAGGGGGAATATCACTCTTTGTAATTATAGGACCTTGCTCTGTATTTTAATTGTTCATTTCACTCTCAATGTGTGAACCCACTGCTATTTCCTTGTTTGCATTTGTCTGCCTGCCTGCACTGTGCTATAAGATCCATGAGACCAAGAGAGCATCTCTGCATCCTCCATGCTCCGGGTGGGGCTTGGTTAGTACCTGGCACATAGCAATAGTTTGCAAATTCTACTTAATGGAAGAATGAAAATCTTAACAGCAGTGTGAAAAATGAAGAGTAGAGAAGATGCTGGAGCAAGGTTAAGATGTGGAATAGCCCTGAAGTGCAGATTAAGAAAGGTAGTGGAATTGTGAGCTAGGAAAGTCTGCTTCTCTGGGTTTTCCTGCTGTTCTGTTGCCACACCACGAAAGAGACCCACCCACTACAGACCTGCACCTGGCAGTGCAGAGCAGAGCTCAACCTGCTCCGGGGTTAGGCTAAGCAGAGCCAGTCTACCTTGCTGTGGACCTTCACTCATTGCGCACTGGAAGACTGAGCACTTGCTGCAGATTTTGCAGGACGGGAGAGACATGGTCACTTTTTTATTTTAGAATGTAACTCCAACAGCAGCCTAGGAAATAGGTGGAAAGTCCGTTAACCAGAGGCGGGAAAGCGTAGGAGTGATGAAGATGAATGAAGCTTGCTGTGACTAAGTCCTAGGGAGGGATGGCCGAGGACTTGAGGAAACCTGCCGGAAGCACAGAGCAGTTGTGCTTTTTCAGAAAGTCGGTTGCTGCTGGTCTTGATGCAGGCAGAGTTGATTTTTAGCTACTCTCAGCTACAGAATCATCAGATTCATGGAGCCGCTCACAAATGAGGTTCTTAGCACTGGCTTCTGATATGCCCTTTTAAATATAAAGAATCAACTTTGTAAGTCAGATAGTGTTGGTTGGACTTAAATAGTTTAATTGGAATTCATATCCTCAGACCAAGATTTCTTCAGCTTCTACATAAATTGTTGCAGTGTTGGTTTATTTGCCATCAAACTTTCGTGGACTATGGTACGAAGATAAAGTTGTTCCTATGTCATGTATAACAATTACAGTACAAATCAGGTGTGTTCAGACAGTCCTTTCTTCAAAATGCTGTTGAAACTTCATCTTACAAGATATTGACGCCTGCCTTGTTTCTTCTAGAATAGTTCTGTGGAGTGGTTGGGCCAGTTTCCATTGTTTTTCCGTAAACAAACTATGTCAATATGTTTTTCCAAAAAATCATTTTGTTTTATCTGCCCTTTCCCCTTACATTTGGATTTCTAGAGGCTTGTTTGCAGTTAACATTCACATGGAACTTTGAAAGATTACCTTACTGTACTTGGTGGACCATGAATTAACTAGGATGGACGTGCAAAAGAGAAATTAGAAAGATTCTTTAAATTTAGTATTGCCAGAAACACATTTTTAAAATCACTGTACCAGCAATATGAGTAAATCAAACCCATGTCCAGGGACATTGCAAACTCTGATCATCAGGGTCATGAGCAGTGAGGAGACCAAGAGGCTGCCCCAGCTGGAGTGGCTGAGGATAAGATGTGTGAGTGCATGTGAAGTCTGGATGTGAGGGATGGCAATGGCCCTGGTGAGTGCTGCACCAGGTGGGTGAGGGTGTTTTATTTGTCAGGGCATACACCCAGGGAGCACACCGCTGCCTCTGTGGCTTTGCTGTGGGCCTGAAATTGCTGCTGTAGGTAGCAAGTCATAATTCAGTAGAAATCTAATTTCAGAATTAGCAATGTTAAAGATCAGTAATAACAGGTTTGTTGGGTTCCCAAGTTATAAGATAACGGTTTTCTATAGTACTATTAGGACCATTTCATTTTATGCTTAAAGAAAGTAGCCTTGCGCTGGGATTGTAGCTCAATGGTAGAGCGCTTGCCTAGCATGCGTGAGGCACTGGGTTCGAGCCCACATACCCCATAAAAAATAAATAAACAAATAAGGGTATTGTGTTTATCTCCAACTAAATTTTTTTTTTTTTTTTAAAAGAAAGTGCCTTTACCTTCATTCTTATGATGAGCAGGAACACATGGATTTGTACAGTCCTGGCAGGGAGTTCCTGGCATGGAGAGTGTGTGGGGCCCCGCCTAGCTTGAAGCTTGCTGTGAATCTAGGCCCTATAAACAGGAGGGAATGTGCTTAGCATGCACTGCTGATTGTCCGTCCTGAACTCTGTAGGTGACTTATTCTTTTTTAGCCCCACATTATACTCTTTTCATGTGAGAGACCTAGGAACCCATTATTGCTAGAAATAGCTGAAAACCATTTGGTTGATGAATAAGAAATTATTTGCTGTTTTAACATGGCTGAGTAGTTGTAATTTCTGATGGTTCAACCTACTAATTTTCTGCTTTGTTTTGAAGAAGCATCACATTCTTAAGTCATTCTCTCTCCACATGTGAGTTGGTTTAAAACTGAAGCATGTGTGCAGCCGAGTGCCTTGCTTCCTAGTTCTGGGCAGACACACAGCAGCACTGAACCCTGAAATTCGCTGCAGGACTGCCTTGCACCCACGAGTTCTGAAAGTACACGGGTTAGCATCAAGAGATCCTGGGAAGCTGGGCATTATGAAATTCTCTCTTCTCTGAGAAATTAGGAAAGTACTAGTGTTTTCTAAGGTATCCCCCTTATAAAAACTGATCTTGGAACTTCTTTCAGTTGGCAAAGACTTTCTAGTTCTAGTTCAGTGCTGGAACTGTCAGATGGCCAAGATCTGGTTTAGATCTCATCTATACCATAGCATTCTGCCCCTAAGCCCTAAGTGAGGCTGAAGCTTAAGGG